GAAGCCACCGCCGCCGGGGAGCTACGAGGCGTGCGGGGAGGCACGGGGCCCCGCGGCGGCCCGTGGTCCCTGGGCTCACGCACCCCCTCTCCAGCAGGAGGGAAGGCTAACAGAAGAGCCAGGGGATCCCCGAGATCCCGGCCCAAGGAGAGGAGGCCAGAGCCGCAGGGGGGACGTGAGGTCTCAGTAACACAGAGCTCCCTGCCAGCCCAGAGGAGGGGGGAAGGCAGGGAGACAACCCTGGCCCTTCTCCAGCCCTCAAGCGCGAGTAAAGGCCTCCAGCCCAAGCAACGCCCCGGCTGCTCCTCTGCCAGCGCTAGCCCAGCCCCTGCTCAGCCCTGGCGTGCGGAGGAACCTGAGCACGGCTTCCCAGAGGCCTCCATCCCTCTGCCCCTGCCAGCACCCTGGTGGGACGGGGGTCACAGGCAGCCAAACCCCAAGACAGAAGCAAGAGCCACTTCCAAGGCTGTCCAGAGTAACTGCTCTGAATCGCAAGTAAAAGATTTCTTTTAAAATTTTAACTATGAATTGTTCTTCTGGTTTGTAACGTTTTAAAGGGAGCAAAGACTGAACGGAAACACTAAACAGAGCAGATGGGAGAAGCAACTGGATGAGCCAGAGCAAGAGCAGTGCAGGGCGGATGCTGCCAGCTCATCCCTCCTTTCGGCCCAGGGCAGCCCTTGGGACAAGCATCCTTCGCTGCATCCACGCAGACAACCCAGTGGGAGCCCCCCATTAATCGTTGGCCCTGTGCTCTTCTCCCCACCTGGCCTGTCCCTACGAAAGGTAAGGGAATTTGGTCCTAATAGATGGTCAGCTCCTCCCTTGGCGCAGGATCCCAGTGACTCGGGCTGCTTCCCCCAGCCAGGAAACGCCAGAGCCCCTGGGAGGGTGCCCCAGCCCCTCTGGAAGGCTAGAGAGGAGGGAGACTGAAGGAGAGGGAAAGCTACGGTGGTTTGGTCTCTTGAGCCCCCAACATCCCTTGCAGACAGAGCTCCCTCAGTCCCGACAGAGCTACAGAACAAAGCTAAATTGGCAAGAGAAACCAGAGGCGGGTGCAGAAACACAAAGTAACCGAGATGTCAGGACGCAGCTCCGGCGGGCAACGGCAGAACACACTGGATAAGGGATGCTGGGTGGGAGAGAGAGAGACGCACACACACACACTGGGGCCGGCGTGGGCTGGGGGCTCGGCTGTCAGCCACACGCCCCGTCCCCTCCCATGGCTCAGATGGCCTCCACGTAGTTGGCGGGGAGCATGCCCGTGTCTCCTGTGCGCTCCACCGTGCCGTACATCCATCCATCGTCGATCTGCTGCACGTTGATGATGGTGTCGCCATCCTGGAAGGAGACCTCGTCTTCGTCGGCTGCGTTGTAGTCATAGACGGCGCGGAACCGCTTCTGCGAGGAGAGAGGGGTCAGCGGGCACAGACCCTCCCCTGCCCCAGATGGGCAGAGCTCCCACCCCCTGGGGAATCCCGGGGCAAGGAGCCCTTCCAGGACCTGCCCAAGAGCCATGCGGGAGCCAGGAAATTCTCACTGTGCAGAATTTCTCACGGTGCAGCGCGCTGGATGCTGCCGCCAGCAATAGCTACGGTGAGCACAAACAAAGCATCCAGAGCACAACCCAGGAGCTGGGAACAGCTTCCCAAGTGGAGCAAACCCTGATTTGGGGGGAAGGAAACTTGTGGGCTGGCGTCAGGGTGGGTGCTGTCCCCCCTTTGGCTACACTCACCCCCCCTCCAGAAGGAGCGTTGCGCTGCGTAGAGGCTGGGGGTGCAGCGTGGGGTAGGGGCTGGTGCTGCGGGCTCTTTGTAGCCGTAGGACTGAGACGGCGGCGGCGGCTGCTGCTGCTGGTAGACTGGGAAAGGAAAGACAGAGCCGTGAGCCAGAGCTGCTGCTACGTGCTGAGATTCGAGACACAGCGCAAGGCCCCTCGCAGGGGCCTCGCAAGGCTCTAGCAGCCAACAGCCCTGAAGCAGAGACAAGCAGGCAGCAGAGCTCCCCGAATCGCTCTAACAGAGGAGGAACACAGCAGGGCTCCCAGACCCAGGGAAGAGCCGGCCGCCGCCCCAGCGACCGTGGGCCCACCCAAGCAGCAGGGGCTGGGGCAGGCTGAAACGCTCAGCCCTTCCCAGAGGGAAAGCGCCTGCCCGGCACCCCGAGTGCTACCTGGGTTGCTGGGTTGGACGTGGTGAGGTGGCTGATTCTGCTCTGCAGGTCTCCGGTAGTTGGTGCTTTCCTGGGAGTTCCTGCGCTCCAGCTCAGTGCCCTCACTGGGACTCGGGCCCATCCTGCTCCTCTCAAACTCTTCATGGTATTTTATCTGCAGTGACAAAAGAGGAAAAGAGATCAGAGCGCAGCCTGGAACACTCTGCAACGCGGGACTAGAGCGGCTGGGCCCTGGAGGATGCGCAGCCAGGGATGCTTCCTCTCCTCTGTCCACCAGGATGGCTTTTAACAGGGTCTCGCATGCTCCCTGCGTCATCCCACAGCCCCTTGGGTGAGGGTCCTCACGCCTACACCCCAGGCAAATACACCAAGTGTGCAAAGCTTGCAGAAACCGCGAGGCAGGCAGTTTCTTCAGGCCCCAGCTGGCCACGAGGCTGTTCACAGCGTGAGGCCAGGGTCGGCCAGCCTCCCTCAAGGCAGCCTGGCCGTGAACAGAGCCACCCTGCAGTCCCCAGGGTGCTGAGGCTCCAGACCACATGCAAGGCAAGTGCCTCTCTTCTGCTGTCCAGCGATGCTCAGACAGCTCTGCCAAACCTCCACAAATCCCAGCTTGCAGGTCCCAGTCCCCTAGCACGGGCAGCAGCTCAGGCAGCCGTTCAGCGCCAGGACTGCCCTTCATCTGCTTCCAGCTCTTTTCTGTCTGCCACTGAGGACTCAGCCAGCACATTACCCATCTCACAGCCTCCCTGGCAATCCTGGGGGACTTCTTCCTCCCCCATCTCCTCTGCCACGTGGTCCTGGTACCCATTCAGAGGCAGATGAAGTTCAGCGATCCTCCTGCACTGGCAGGATGCAAATTCAAGGACGGGACATCCCTTTTGGGCTGCTAGAGGCTCTCAGCCTGGCTATTTACAGACACAAGCCCTGCACTATCTGTGACAGAAAACCAGGAGCCAGCAGCATGCCCTGTACAACATGTCTCGAAGCTCCCTTGCCTGCCCAAGGCCCCAAAGCCAGTCCTTGCCTGTGCGTTAGCAGCACTGGGAGATGCTGTCTCCGCTTTCAAAGTCACCGTGGAGGCTCTCTCTTCCCAGCTATTTGGCCAGCAGCCGTCCCCCGGGCTTCAGGGGCATTCGCACAGGCCCCAGTGTCCAGCCACCCCCATACAGCAGGCTGTAGCACGGCATATCAGCACAGGTACCGCAGCTCTGTGTCCAGGCGGGCAGCGGTAGAGCTCGGCTAGAGCCGTGGCTGGACTGGTCCGACCCTGCCAGCTCCTCCTCTCCCAGGAGCATCCTTCGCTCTTGGCTCTGACCTCTGGAGCATGGCAGCACAGCGGCAGACTCCTCGAGCTGGAAGTGGTCCCAAGCACCCAATTAGGGCTCTGGCATTTGGCAAGGAGGGGAAGCAGCAGTGGCTGCCTTCCAGGAAAACACAGGGCAACAATTACTCAAACAGTGGAGTAGGTATAATAAGACAGAGGGAGCAGGAAGGGAGTCCCAGCAGAGGAGCGTACAGATGAGATTCACTGCACCACTTCTCAGTGAGGATCTCTGTGTTAACCCTGCCAGTGCCAGCTCTAACCAGACAGCCACCAGCACAGGCAGCGAGGAGGGGAAACGGTCTAGACATGGACTGCCAGCAGGGCAGCCCGAAGAGAAGGAACCAGGAGTTACCATGAGGTGGGCTTCCTTCCCCTTTGGACACCTATCACCCAGGGACAGGGCAGGAGAGCACGGATGATGGGCAAGAGGACCAGCCACAACAAGGTAAGGCTGCTAAAACCACAAGGACCTCATCGAACAGGGCATGTGGACTCAAACCCTCTCCCTGCCACTGCACTGCACACCAACACCTGAAATAACCCCAAGGGAGACATGGCGAAGGAGAAGAGCAATTATCCACTGACGCAGCACCAAGGAAGCACAACTGCAGGGAGTGACCTAAACATAGCCCTGAGTGGCTAATCAGGCTGGGAAGATTGCATGGAAAACAACCAAGCAGAGGAAGGAACGAGGGAGATGGTTGGCGTTTTCTGCGCCAACAACCACCACCCTGCGCAATATGCAAGGCTGGCACGTTGCTGCCTTCTGCCCAGTTTGAACGTCCTTGGGGGAGAGAAGAGACATGATTGCACATGAAAGCAGGGAGGGTTTATGCAGGCTGCTGGCCAGATGGTCCCTGGATTCTTCTGTTTCTCCAGCTCCCTGCATGGGGAAGAGCTTCAGCACACAGACTTGCAAATGACAGACAAAAGGATCTCCAGTCTCTACCTGCAGCCTAACCCTGCAGCCTCAGCTGAGTGCAGCAGTATCGCTCCCAACATCTGGCTCCAAATTTCTTTTAAAATTGAAATATGAGAAAGCCTCAGGCCTTTTCAATGAAGGCGACTCAAAAGAGGAGCCAGCAGATACCAAACACACCAGTTGCATTTGACTAGTCAGAACCTTTCCCCCACAGCCAGCACACAGAGGGACCTTCCCAGCAGCAGGCAGGACAGAAGGGTTAACCCAATCGCCTGGGCATAGGTGTAAAAATTAATAGCCACTTGTGTTAATTGAATACAGTGCTATTGGAAAACACCTGGAGCCTATTTGCCTGCTGGTTAAACAGTTATTTACTGAAGGGCGCTACACCCTGGCTCCCTGCACAGGCAGGAGGCAAAGCCTGGAGCAGAGTCACACTTCTGGGAAGGGGAACGTCTTGAAGGGAGCACTTCACTTCATGCAGCCTATTTCTTTATTTGCTGTAGGGAGACTGCCCAGGGACAGCTTCAGGGCAGCATTGCCTGGCAGCAGGAGTTTATGCTTCAGTTTTACATAGCTTCTTTTCCAAGAGGGCTTTCTCGTGAGCAGGACTGGATCAGCACCCTCCGCAGAGGGTGGTTAGGGACAGCGTGTGCTGCAGAGGTGCTGAGGCCAGAGCCATCGCTGCCTTTCCTGTGAACTCCACAGCAGAACCATCATGACATCGCCAGGACCAGTCTCACCCCTTGTTCTGCTTGGTGGCTCCCTTTGTGTCTCACCTCTTGGCTGCATTATTTAAAATCTGGAACCTTCACAAGCTGTCTTTTTGGAAAGAGAGGTGGTTCCCTTAATGTAATCACCGCAGCCCCACTCCATGGAAAGGGAAAGGATTGCACCATCACAGGAAGCTGTGCTCATCTCCTGCCAGCTCAGAGCCAACTGAAAAGCTGTCCAAAGGGAAAGCCTTCCAGCCAGGCCCATTGCCCCAGTGGACAGGACTGAGCCTTCGCTGCCCTGAGGTTTGGCGTTCAGATAACATGATGTAGCTTCCCAAGGAGAAACCAGTACTTGCCAGAGTGGAGAACCACACAATGAGATCAGAAGGAAGAGAATAAACAATCTCCTCCCACCCTGTTGGGCATTTTGGGCATTTTTGTGTTTGTGTATACATGTTAACTCCCACTGACTGCACAGGCACAATCCTGCCTCTCTATGTATTTCTACAAGCACAGATCCAGCCCCCTTAGACACCCTTGGGAAGCAGGTAGAGGTGCTCTTGTTGAGGATGGGAAAAAGCTCCGTTTTCTCTCTCAGGACAGGCTTCCAGCCATATCTCACTTCACCTTGTCTGTAGAGACTCTGGTTCATGCCCCTGCCAGTGCAGTACCCTAAAGAGGGGCGCAAAGGGAAACACCACTTCCCCCAAGGCTGCAGGGAAGGGACTCAAAGCCTGCCATAGGGGAAAACAGACTAAGGTCCATCTTAGTTTGGCTGCCATGGTCACTCAGGGCATTATGGCAGCTGGAGAAGGGCTGGAATAGAGATGCTCAGAGCCCTCGGGTCAAGGTACTGGGCCTTCCTCCGACAGGGCAGTGCTCTGGGCGGTCTGTCCTGGGCTCAGCTATCAAGAGAAGCTCAGGGCACTACAGAGGGACAATAACTCACAGAATCAGTTTGAGTGGAAGCTTAAGAGATTTCTTTCGCAACACTGTGCCTCTGGGAGGAGTTTACTGGTCAGTGAGAAACCAGTCTTCTCCATCCTGTCTTCTGCTAGGCCAGGTTTTGCAACAGCTTCTGAGCATTTGATAAGGAACATACACATGACTCATTTGCAGCTAAAGATTAAGATTAATTAACCCTTCGTGTTCTGCTGGAGGCATATGTTACTGCAGGCCTCCTGTGCCACAATGCCCAGGAGTCTAGGGTTGGATTCGGGAAGGGGATTTTGCCCCAAGTCCAAAACACCAATGCAGCAGCTATACATGTGAGTGTGCATATCTTCCTCTTTCACCATGGCAACACACAGAAATCCATGTCCTCATGTACCACGTCCCTTCGACCAGCATCTGGATATTGCTAGAGGCTACTGGGTGAAGCTCAAAGTGCTAGGCCAGCTGCCAACCGAACCTGGAAATGGTTTTTAATATTACTTTTGGAAAAGGAAAAGTTGGGTCTCTTGCAGACACAGGACAGAGCTCCCTTCCAGGGGGGAGGAGGTCAAGAGAAGACAAAGATGCTGCTGTGCACGGCCCTCGGGAACCCCTCCACATCAGGGCTGCGGCAGGATGCTGATGGGAGGGAAGCTGTGCTCAGAAGAGCACAGAGCTCTAGTAGCTAGCTTAAGTAGCTCGCTCCCTGCAAGGCTGCTCTTCTGCAGCAAAGGCAGCAGCTATTGAGAGATGAGGGCTCTAGCTAGGGAAGTGGATGATGCTGCCTGTCCTACTCTCAGGGGCCAGCAGCAGCAGGTGGTGGGACTCTGGGGACTGCACAGAGCCCAAGCACAAACTGACAACAGCAGCAGCTGTAGCAAATGCTCTCAGCAGCTGGATGGCTGGCAATGGCTTTGCACAAGCCAGAGGGGGTCAAGACAAGGAGAACCTGGCAGAGGACAGTTGCCACTGCACAAGGGACAGGAGAAAGGGGTTTGCCTTTTGCTGGGGTTGCCACACACAAATACAAGTCGAAGAGAAACAAGGATGGATAGAGTCACTCAGCACTCACAGGGAAGCAGCACTGGGTCTTCTCCATAGAGCCCAGAGCCTGTAGGGTCATCTTCCTTCTGTGTTACAGTCACAATAGGGGGCCAGATGGGACCCCCCCCCCATCTGCCTCCTCCACTGAATGCCATTCCCTGGTGCTCCCCTTCATCTCATTTACACTGCTGCTTCTCACAACAAATATTTACATGAGCACCTAGGAAGAAGTTAAAGACTCTGATACCTCTTTGCATCTGGCTGCAGCCTCTATATCTGTTAGCCTTCACAGTACAAAGGACCTCAGAGACATGCGTGATGTCTAGCTGCAGACACAACACCTCCAAAAAACAGGTCACAAGGTGCCCAGGGAGAACATGTTTGAGAATTACCCTGCCAGGCTTTAAAGATGAGGCAACCTTGTTTGTTTAACAGCTATCAGAGCACTGGCCCTTGTTCCTCATTTTGCAGTCAGAGCACCCCCCAGCCTTCTTCAGCAGCGCAGCAGGAGGAAGGTCACAATATCACACACAGAGATTAGAAGCTACTCACATTGCTGATCTGATCCTGAGTCTTTTTGATTCTCTGCAGCTCTGGGGTGTCAGCCACCACACTGAAGCCTTTCCCCTTGTTCTTCTCAAATTCCTCCTTGTAGCGAATCTGGATACAAGCAAGAAGATAAAAAACAGATTTAAGCATAGGAGGAAAACAGCATGCATAGCATCCCTACGTGGCAAGGGAGAACTTCACTCTCCCCTGTGCCCTTCATGACCCCCTAACGCATCCAGTAATAGTAACATGGGGTATTGCTAAGAGCCGAAACACTAACAGCTTCTTATGCATTTGCTGATCTTGTTTCTCTTTCAACAGGGCAGGGGTAACTCAGTTTTACTTTGAGTTTCCTGTGGGCCACCAGCACGCGCACACTGCGCATACCATGGATCAGCTGACCTGTGGTAATCCCTGTTGGGAGCCCCAAGGGTTTTATGGGCTGCACCCATACAAGAGCATTTCTACATCAAGGGACATTTAGCCTTCTCTGGAAAAAATGCGCCCAGAAAGGCCATAACCAAATCAGAGCGTGGGGGAAGGCAGCAGGCAGAACACAGGCATCTTCATTTGCTTGCCAGACACTAACATCAGCTTCTCTTCCCATCACCCCCAGAAACAGATTCTCCCCCCCCAATATCTATAGATAGCTTTAAGCAACAAGGACTTGGGTTTCTACCTCTCCTGTGAGAGGGAGCGGAAGCAGCACACAGTTCCTGAACACGCTGAGCTGCCACAACCTAGACTTGCTTCCTGGCCTGGTCTTGGCGCGGGGTGCTACTGAGTCTGTGCCCTTGGTCTTGCCTCACCCTACCCTGCCCAGGAACACTGTTCCCACCAGAATCACCCGGAAGCAGAGTCAGCCTCTGCAGAGGCTGCAACCCAACCGCTGACTCAATCACTCCAACGCGGAAGGAAACACAAACCAGCTTTTCGGCCTGCCTTGATAGAGCAGCTTCGCTGACTTTCAGATCTGAGCAGCCAGAAAGATTCCCCATTTCCACAGGGAGGGCAGAGCAGATGCACGTAGCCCACATGCGGCGTGCCATGCGACAAAGCCAAAAGGCAGGAGCTCGGGGTCAGAGAGATGCCCTGGCCTCTGCCACCCGCTCTGCCAGCATCTGGGCCTGCAGCGGCTGGGGCACCACGGCAGAGGTGCCATGCAGAGGCATGGCCTGACATGGAGGACCAGCAGCTGGAGCTTCAGAAGCACCCAAGCACCCACAGACTGGCACAAGCAAACCAGGTCCGAAGCACGTTTGCACCCAGATGGAAAATTCATGATTCATATGAGGTTGGAGAGAAACCCCACTGAGCCTGAAGTACAAAAAAAAAAAAGAAGAAGAAACACACTCATTTGGGGAAAATGCCTGCCCTTCCCTGTGATTCGTCTCCACTGAGCTGCCTTGTGCACTGCCACCGAAACGAGAAGGTCACTGCTGCCTCTCACGCAAGCGGATTAAACCTGCGGACGCAGAGAGAGCAGTCTGCGAGGGCACCACAGCTCTCTCTGCACGAGATGCATGCCCACCGCTTACCACCTCCTGCTTGCGGGAGGGCCGCGGGCACGGTGGGGAGAGCTGTGCTCCAGCTGCTTCCAGCTCCCGCTGCCGGCTGCAGGAGAAACGGAGCAGGAGCCTCCTTCTAAGGGCCAGGAGCACAGGAAGAGCAGCGAGGGGAGCCCAGACGCATCACCCCCTCCCCACGTGGGAGCAGGGAAGCGCTTGTCTAAGCGGGGGCCAGACACCAGTGTGTCTGGCCAGCAGAGTCAGCTTCCCGTAACCCTTCCCACCCCGCAGCCGGATGGGAGCGTGCCAGATGCATACACAGGAAGCTGGGGCTGGCCGCGCAAAGAAAGAGTTCGTACAAGCGTGTCACAGCCCCTGCCCCACCGCGCTGCGTGCTCACAGCACGGAGAGACCCTCCTGGAGGAAGGGCATGCTTTCGGGGCGAGCCGTCCAAGGGAGGCGAGGCACGAGCGCAGCAGCCCTTCTGCAACAAAAAACGTTCTCCCACGCGCGAGCGAGCAGTGGGGATGACTGCTTTGCTCATGGATTTGCCTTGTACTCGTGCGCAACGCCAAGATAAAGCTTGGAGGCAGAGAACCAGCAGCATCGCGAGGGAGGAGGGATAACGCCGATTTCTTCCCAGCACTCTCCCCTACGGAGATGCTCCTTCAAACCTCACATATTTGTGTCCTATCCAGACAGCGCATCCAGCCGGGCCGGGAAACACCTTCCAAGGAAGGCTGCCAAACATTTTCTAGCATCTTTTGAAGAATCCAAGAAGCTAAGAGACACACCTCGGCTGCCATCTGGGCTCTTCCGTGGCCCTGTCTAGCTCCAGGGCGTGATGTTAGCTAATACACACTGGGAGAGCAGGCAGGACCACGCAGCTGATAGGGATGACTCTTGAGGGATAACACCGTCCGTCCTTCCCACGCCTAGGTGGCTCTAAAACGAGGCTGCGGCAGGTCAGGACCAAATGGAGGCAGGAGCAGGGTAACAGTTTGTCTTGACTTAAAGATTTCAGTTAGCAAGGCTGGTGTCGATGAGGCGCTGCAGAATTCCGGTGGTTAGCACACGGTGCTATACGCTCGCCTACATCAGGGCTAGCAAACACCTCACAGGAGCGAGCTCCAAGATGCAGATGCTTCCTTTGTTTCACTACAGCCTCTGGTCTGCTCCACAGATCACAGCATGCCAAATAGCCATTTCCAGGTTAAACATTACCCCAAGACTCTCCGAATCCAGAGCAGGAAGCTGGCTGCAGCCCTGCTCCCATAGAGCAGCAGGGCAGGAGACCAAGGTCTCACTCCACCGGGCCTGTTGCTCGCGCTGGCCCCAGCAGAGCCCGTGGTGCTCTAGCTCAGAGCAGGAGGGGAAGCCGGGCACCAGCTCCGCAAAGGTCATCAGGAGGCACCCAGGAGAGCTCACTGCTAGCTGCACAGGTCACCGTGGTGCAGATAAGAGCTCAGCGCTGGCAGACAGAGCTCTGCTTGGCGTTTTCTTTCTATCCTGCAAGCCAGGAGAAACGCAAAGCTTCAGAAGCACATCAGAGCCCCTAACCTTCTTCTCGGTGATGGCACAGGCACAGTTGCTGGTATCACAGAAACTCAGTCTCAAGTCCAAGCACTTTACGCTCTTTGAGTCACATTAGACTTCTAACTCTAACGTGACATTAGAAAGCTTAATGAACCTTAACAAATCTTGTTGGGGAGAGGGGGACACTCTAGGAGGATGCAATACAACCAGCATGCCAAAGCACATCAGAGAATCACAAGACACCAATTTCAAGGCAGAAGCCACTGTCCGTTTGAAGCAGTAAGATGGAGAGAAATGCTTTTGCTAGTTGGGGTAAAAAAAAAAAATCTGTCTTGAAGAGCATCACTGATTAGGAAGCAGTCCTGAGGTGCTAGGCATCAGGCACAAGGAACCCAAAAGTTAACACTGCTGCAACAAAATATGACACACACCCAGACAGTGGATCAGGAGGGGCTGAGTCAGTCCTGCGAGCCAGTCGAAAAAACCCCAGCCTTAGCAAGCACAACTACATCTGCAACTGGGCACATAAAGGACAAATACAACCATTTATCTGCTCTACTTTCAATAAAGGCTTTTTTCCTTTAGATCTTCCCAGGCTGGGCATGGGATGCTGTCCCTGCCATTGTGCTGGCAACAAGCTGCTCACAAGAATGGGATTTATCCAGCAGCCCTCTGCTCAGCCAGCCCCGAGGAAGGGGCACCAGCATCAGCAGTAAACTTTCAAGAAAGTTGACTAGCTATGAGAAACCCATGGCTAGGAAAAACAGCAACAAAGAATATCAAGGGAGAAGCTAACTGCAAGGCTAGCTGGTTCCTATAATAAGTTCCATAATCTATTTTACCCTTCTAAATCTTGTCTAGAGCCCTACTCATCTTCTCTGGGTGTTTTTTTTAACTCCAACATTCAGGATAAAGGAATTTGGCCCTAACCCCAAGGAAGATTTATTCATGTATGAGGACGCCTGGCTGCAAGGTGGGGACCTATCCCAAGTCAGAGGAAGATGCCTAGTACCAGAGGGCAGGCCCAAGACCGGTGTTGCCAGCTAGCTTAGGTTACACTACACCATCACAGCAAGGGTACCGCAGCACACGGGACCACGGAAATCGGAGAATGATGTGAGCGTCGGGAGCGATGCTGGGAGGAAAAAGGAAGAACGGCAGGGCAGGAGCCTGGCTGGGACAGGCATGCAGCCACCATCACCCCGTGTCCAGCGTGGCTCAGGCTGGCGAGGGGAGGAGGCCAAAAAAAAAAAACCCACGATCCAACAGGAACCTCTGCCCTTCCTGGCTTTGGCAAGCCTGGGCTCTGCATACAGAGAGGCTGGGTCCTCCCAGGCTGCAGCGGATCACCCAGGGTTAAGCGACAGGGCCGGAAAGGAGGGAGGAAGTGTTCAGACAAGGCGTCTTTCAGCTTCTCCCTGCCCTTATATGGGCACCAGGCACAGGCTGGGCTGGGCTGCCTGCACCAGGCCAGGCAGGAGTCAGGCAGCCAGCGCTTTCCCATGCGATGCTCGGCGCCAGGCCATTACGAGCATGAGAGAGGAGCGGGGACAAAGGCAGGCCAAAAACACGCTGGTGGGAACCGGGTAGGAAGGAGGGGTGGGGAGATGTGACCCACGACCCCCAGGTGGTGAGGCCGCGGGAAGAATCCCATCCATCCGCACAGGCTGCCGACAGCCTTTCAAGAGACTTTATCAGGTGATAAAAAGGGAGATGCACGTGCAATTCAGCAAGTCCCGCTGTGCTTCCCCAAAGCATGAGGGTACTGCTGGGAACCAACCTGATGCTGTGCAAGGGGCTCTAAGGAACTGTCACTTCTGCCTGTGCTCCTGCCATACCTACCTGCTCATTTACTTGCTGCTGTCACTCTAGTTCATAGTCGCCTTTCACTTACACACTGTATTAACGAGCCTTCAGTCTCGCTGTCCTGGCACTGTCTGCATCGCTCAGCTTTACAGGAGCAGAGAGGCAATGGGCCATCACCAGCTCACAGATCATACCATGCACTTATGAGCCCAGGCAGCCAGCTAGACCACACTTCCATCCACAACGTGCTGCGTTAGATCCGTTTTCCCCAAGAGCTTCCCAAACCTGTATCCACACCTAGTCTGTCAGGGTCCCATCCCATAATACTAATACGGGATCCAGAATTAATTTCCTCAGAGGAATCGTTTCCCCAGCGCTGGGAATAAGACTGACAATTCATGCACCCATGCGTTATCTAAAGGGAGCCAGAGAAGAACTGCCCTTTATGCATTACAACACTCAAGCAGGTCTCAGCTCAAGCATATTAAACTAGCGCTTGTGTCCACATCTTTGATCTCGCTGACAGCAGCTCCCCAAGGCGACACATGCGTTGCTGCGGAAAGGAAAGGCTCAGGACACAAGACAGTTACCTGTCTCCCACGCCACAGGAGCCTCCACCCTCAGACAGGAAAGGCTGTGTCCAAAGACACCAATTTTAAGAGTCTGAAGAAGCCACAGGATAGGAACCCTGCAATTTTGTTGCCGTACGTGGGCTATAAGAGAGGGCTGCAGGCGTAAAAGCTGTCACTTTGGAGACTTACTTAGCTGCATAAGACATTATTATCCAGCTTCTGTCTGTGACCGGAACAAAAGACGCCTTCTCAGTAAACATAAATAGAAGAGTACATCAAGAGTTGCATGAAACAGCTCCAGTTCAGCACACAGCTCCTCCATTATCACCTTCCACCTCCCTGCTCACAGCACAGCCCCAAACAGTGGCTCTGGTAAACAAACAGCTTTTCCAGTCACACCAAGGTGGACAGAGAGGGTATTTTTGGCAGGAGGACATAGGATCAACCTTCTCCAGGTCACCTACAAGTTCTGCAGCTCTCCAGGCCTACAAGACTCCTGCTGCAGAGGAAAGGGCCTAGAAAGGGGCAGAGCTGTTGGCTGCTTGTCTGGAGCATCACCTCCCACTGTCAAGGGATGACCCTCCACCACAGTTAGAAATTCCTTGCAGCTTTCCCAACCAGAGGGGAGGGACCCACCATTTTCCCTTTTCCTAACACTGCTACCAGCTGTTCCCAGCCACAGCTTCTCCCAGGGGGACATGCACTCTGGGAAGCTTCACTGCAAGAACCAAAGACCGAGCCACAGCTGAGTTTGGCTGGCAAATGCTAGCCTGAAGGTAAGATGCGACTGTTCACACAATCCTGATCTCACTCCACAAGCAATTACATGACTAAATTTATGTGCAGAGCTCTGCATCCTGGCTAACGCTCCTGCAACAGGCACTTTTCAGACAGCACTTGAACTGGCAAACTTTTGTACAAAAGCACTCCTCCTAGGCTGTCACAGTACAGCAGAGCCAGCAAGCCCTCTTTGACAAGCTTTCCTTCCCATTTCAGCTAGCAGCTCAAGTTTATCCAGTTCATTTGCAAGGCTGAATCCTTCTGCCTGCTCTAGAAGGACTGGAAGTGACCTATTCCAATCCTGAAGGGTTTGCATAGCTCCTGCAATTACTAAGAAATGACTGTCAATAGAGCACAGAGCAGCTGCATTTTAGGTAGAGTGCTCCAAGAAATATGAATGTTCGGTGCTTGGAAAATAGGAGACTCCCTTTGTAGGCAGAACAAAGGCAGAGAGAAATTAAGATCTTATCTTAAGTGTTTAGGATCTGTCCTCCCTGGAGGACTATGGGCACTCCACTCTGGCAGTTTCCACCTGATTCAGCTATTCTATCTCCCATTGCTCCCTCGAAGCTCCCTGCTCCCTCCTCTTCACAGGATCTTTTTGCCTTTTTATGCAACAGAAGAACAGGATGCTGCTCCATTAGGAGCTCCTCCCAGAGCTCAGATGCTTGAGGCACCGTCCCTTTAACCTCTTCTGTTCCTGGGCAGCCGTTCCAGCTGGGCAGATGTCTGGGTCTCAGCAAGATGCTGAGGGGCGTTCAATTAGGAAGAAAATGGGATGAATAAAGTCACTGCACCAAGCTCCTGGACAGAAGGGAAACAAGTAACCTGGAGCCCAGCCCATTCAGCATAAGTGGGCAGTACACCCGCAAGGTAGCACACAGCAGAGCTCCTTGTCATGCCACCCAGCAGCGCTGTCAAAGGGGAAGGAAGACAACTCCAAATCCGGACCGCAGCTCGTGCCAGCATTACTCAGTTTTACAGCTCTAGGCAGCATCACAGAGCACAGCTTCCTCTGGCCTGGAGGACAGCAGGCAACAGCACAAGACCATGCAGCAATATGCAGCCCTAGAGGCACTGGCAGACCACACAAACCGAGAACGCTACACTGGAAGGGAGCGGAGACCCAGCCAGCTTTGGCAGGACGCACTGAGGCAGTGCCACGCAGGCCTGCATGGATGCAGTCTTTGCAGCCCAACAGAGCAGAGCAGCTGCGTTTGCTAGATCAGGTAAGACCACCTTCGTGTTTATGGCAGCTGTGTCAACCCCTTCCCAAACAGGCAGAAGGGATATTTTCAGGAGGCACCGGCCCAAAAGAATAAAGACGTCACCTCCTGTAATACAGCTGTCATACACACAGCGTTTGCTCCCAACTGCTTCCTGCACAACACACACAAGGAGCTGAGAGTCCCAACAAGCTATAGAAAAGCCTAGGCAGTACAGAGTACAGCCCCAGCACACTCCCTCCCCAGGGTCTCCTTTAATAGGAAAGGACTAATGAAGAGCCCGAATTCATTGTGAAAACAGTGCTGGAGACTCCAGAGCATTTGGTGCAGCATTATCTTGATTGTTACCATGGAAAAGCAACTGTGTCCCCTTAACAGCTCTATGAAACACAAAGCACGCCCCAGGCTGAGCTCTAAAACTCTGCATGAGCCGAGCTGCGTTTATGCAAGCCAGGTAGCTGTTGGGCAACTTGCTCTGAGGAAGAGACCTTACAAAAGCAGAGGTTTCAAAACCTGATGCTGGCTGTGTGGGCACCACCAGCTCTATCTTTTAACAGGTGAGTGAGTTTCTCCTTCTTCCTCCAGCAGGAAATGCTTACCAGCAAACTGCTTTTTAACTTGTGGCACTTCCAGGCTAATGGGAAGAGGAGAAAGGAAGGTCACTGTATCCTTCACAGCACAGCAGCCAGAGGAATGCACTGATCCCAAAAGATGACTGCTCACCCTGAAAACATCACTAAGGCAAATCCTATGCTGTGCACCCTCTGCTCAGATCTAAGGACCAATACTGTTACAGTGCTGAGCTAAGCCAGCATGCCCTGTTGACAACACTCCGGGCAGTCTTTTTGCCCCTTTTCATCAAAGGAAAAAAAAAATTTAAATAGATTCCCAGAACAGTTGCCACATCCTGTGTTTTCCTGAGAGACTGACTCAAGTCAAAAGTGCCCCTGGATGCATTTTCTTCCAATGCAGCTTATTCTGAGCACACATTTGCAGTTCTACAACATCAAAGCTTAGGACAGAACAGTTCAGGGCCTCGTCTCAGACGCTCCAACATAGTCCTAACCTTCGGGCTCAGCCATGCCCAAAGAACGCCAGTTCTTGGCAGACTGAAGTCACATGAACAAAGCCAGTCACCAAACCTTGCTCTTCCAGCTATTTTTCTGCTAAAAGCATCACTCACTTCCCAACTTGCATACATTTTCAGCACCTTATAGAGTAAGAGAGGAAGGAAAATAGATTGTTCCCTGTCCCCCCCAAAAAGGGGGGAGTTCCTACTGTATCATCAGAAGTTATCAGTGCGAGAACCCAGCTCAGAGCTGTGCCTCAAAGCTGGGGGCTTTTGCTGACCCAGGGACACCTTAAGGGTATAGAATGGGACACAACTAGACTACACCCTATTCAAACAGGCTCTTCTCTTCCCACTAGAGGGGAGAAAAAAAAAATCTGTGCCAGTTGTTATCCCTTCTATATTTCTGCTTCTCAGCTTTCAAGTCCTGCAGGATTTGGTTTACTTGAAATACTTGTCTATGGAGTAATTCCCTGTCCAGATGAGCGGCTTGTCATTTCACTCGATTGTGTTGCTGGATCTCAGTAGATGAAAGATACACTGGCACAAGACAGACATGACTGTGAGAGGCAGACTGCTTGCTGGACACCTCTTACTTCTGAGAGATCATAGCGGCCACGGCTGAATGGAACAGCAAGCACAGTTCAGATGCATGAAATCCAAGAAGGATCCACGCCCCAAACCTGCCTCTCCCTCTTCAGAGGGAAGGCCTTAAGAAAGCATCAGAGCACAGAAGAATGTAGTGAAAGTACACTGGCCTAGGGCAAGGAGCGATCTACATGCTTACCTGGCTCTGGAGCTCACTCTGCTGCTTTAGACGCAGGTTCTCGGGAGTGTCTGCCACCATGGTGAAGGACTGCTTTGGATAGTGTCTGCAAAGAGAAGGTAGGCCATCAGTTACGGGCATTCCTAGGAGTAACAGCCACATTCGCTGCCTTCTCCCACTTACTCTGCTGACAACTACAACCAGAGAAGTCCCAGGAGAGCCAAGTGCTTTGGCCCCCACTCCAGAGCAGAGCCACAACTTCAGCAGCAGTAACAGAACCGCGACTACAGAAACTCCAACGCTTGCAGATTTAGCAGTAGCCATTTGAGATGACAGTGTGTCTCACTGTGCACTCTCATCTGGAAGTTATCATCTTCCAGAGCAGATATACACTGCTCACTGGGTTCTACAGTTCAGTTTCATATGTTAACTGAAGCTAAACTACAAACTCCCCTTTCCCTTTTTTCCCCTGATAAAGTTGCTGCTTTTCCAGAGGATAAGACCATTTCAGGTTTGTGCCCGACTCTCTGATCCTGGAAAGAGCCTAATTAAAAACCGAAGATGTGTTAAACAGTCCCAAGAGTAACATTAGCTCAACTAAATGCTACATAGCTCTAGTTTACAATGACTTTGCCTGTTTCACTGCTTCAGTTGTGAAGGGTCAGAGGGGAGTGGGGTGGTTTTGCTTTACCAAAGTTAGAGCCACACAATCCTCCCATCATAGTTTAATAGTACTGCAGTACCTCGTGACCCCGGCATAAACTGTGTCAGCATATCAGTGCCCATCTTGGGGGCGCAGACTGTACTACTTATCTATACCAGTTCAGTATGTGTTCAGTGAATCCTTAGGACACACCTAAAATGGGAGTGCTACACAAAACAAGAAAACTCCATTGTGGTCTGGCTGCAAGCCCAGCAGCTAAGTGCCATATAGGAGTTTCTGAAAAGTGCATGCAGCCTTTGCTACAGACAACGCAAATCAGCAGTCAGGAGAACTCAAGTACTAGCAGAAAGCAAATATCTAATTCTAAAGCTGAAGACAATGGAGGCTACTACAGGCCCCTAAGCAGACAAGGCAAACTTCACATGGCCCTTCCAACCTCCAGATCCCCAGAAGAAATAGGGAATAGCAAGCAGCAAATCCCTGCCATGACTCTGGAGGTTCAGTGTGCAGACATCTTCAGCCAGGCTTGACCTGACCATTACACAGCTCATGACTAGATTCTCTCTCATGCTGCCAAGAAGTGGCATGGTCAGTCCCAATTGCACAACATCTCACTGCCACTCAGGTACCCGTGTTGATCTTTCACTCAGGGGTCGGCTACATCCTGCATTGCTGAGGATACGTCCCCAACGGCTAGATCTGGTCTGAGCAGTCACCCTGTCCCTGTATCTGGACCATTACAAGTAACATTGAGGAAATGGTTTAGAAGAAGAATGCTTCCAGACTGCCTCACCACTGACCACTGTAGAGACAAACTCCTCTGCACAGAAAGCTCCCTGAGAAAAGCCTGGAGAGGAAACATGACACTGAACTGGTGTTAACCGCTCGCATGGGATGGCAGAGAAACTGAAGACATCCCACTGCAACCTTTAGAGTTTATAATCTGCAAGAGTTGAAGCAGGACACCCAAGCTCAGCATTTCTCATCTGCAAGAGTTGAAGCAGGACACCCAAGCTCAGCATTTCTCATCTGCAAGAGTTGAAGCAGGACACCCAAGCTCAGCATTTCTCATCTGCAAGAGTTGAAGCAGGACACCCAAGCTCAGCAGCAGAAACGGACACTGTTAAGATTTTAGGAAAGTTAACATCTAGTACAAGAGAGTAGGTTGGAGGCACAGACGCTGCATCATCCCTGGCTCACATCTTAACACTTCGAAGGCAGAGAGCTGTGAGGGCCCAGGAGGAGCCCGGCTCGCAGAACAGGCTTCCCAGCCTGCAGCACACGAGGCACCAAGGTGGCAGTTCTGGGGCACAGCAGCGCAGCGCTTCGCGGTGCAGCCCAGTTTCACTTTCAGGTTGGATAAATTCTCTTGAAAGACAGGGCAATCAGACTCTCCTCCCACTGCAACAGCTCTTAAAAGAGGTCACCAGGTCTAACCAGTGCACTGAAAACAAAACCAGGGAACAGACTGCAGCTCTTCACAGAAGAGGAACTGGGAGGTCTAACTCGCTTCAAGGCTTCTCCTCACAACGCTGGTCCTAGTTTCATGGAGGTGAAGGGCTGTCTGGTCAGGGCTATAACCTAAACTCTGTGGCCTCCAATTCCCATACCTCACTCAACGTAGTCCGACTGGCGGCTGAACCACCCTCTCACTTGAGGGCTCCATAACAAACTACAGGGTAGCTGCAGTACTGTCCCTTCACAGACCAACATAAGTGATTTGTGGGTCTTAGGAAGCCCTTGGGCTGTGCTTTGGGAACTTGCCTACTGGAGCATCAGCAATTGTCTATTCACAGAATCAGCGTTAGCACCTCTGTCCGAGGCTAACCAAAATGTGGTCAAACGATGATAAGTTCGCAGAATGCCAGCTGTGTATGCAAGAGTCTAGCTGAAAGCTGCTGCCTTATAGCAGTGCTGTCGGAGCAGGAAAGCAAAACACATACAACCCACAGACCTGCAAGAGCAGCACATCTCAGTAAAGCAGCAATGCAGGAAACTCGGAATAAAAATAGTCTCCTCCTCAGCATCTCAGAAAAAATAAAGAGAACCCACCCCACCCACACCAAAAACCAAACAATGCAGATGTAGTCTGTAAAAAGGGGAAAAGGCAAAGAAACAGCTCCCCGCCAGCCCCGCAGCGTGCACCCAGAGAAGGGAACACCTTCTCTCCAGCCAGCTTCCCAAGAAAACGCGATGCACTCCCTGCTCCAACTCTTGGCAGTAGGGGACAAACAGGACCCGTCCTGTTACCATCAACCCAGCTGCCTGCTATGTTAGGGGAGACAAGATAACACTGAGATCCAAGGGGTGGGAAATAGTCTGCCCACCTCAGCCCGCTGCCAGCACCTGACAGGTATCGGCCATGAGATCCCAGCCAGCCCTCATCTGTCACTAGCGCGTGGAGGAGCACAGAGGATGCAGCTGTATCCAGACCCCATAAGCCCGCTACTCTTTAACCTTCCGCAGGCCCCCACAAACGCCCAGCAATAGGGAAGGCCGAACAGGACAAGAACCAGTTTTAGAGCAACAATAGATCAGCAATTGCTTCAAGAAGATTGTTTAATCCCTGTTTAGATTAACCTGATTAGAGAGGATTTATGCTGCATGTTCAGGCTCCATTCCCCCTACCAGGAGCTTTTGGACATCACTACGTTAAGGCTTCACACCAGGTTACACCAAGGCATGTAGTTCAAGCTATTGCCAGCCTGTGGCTTGCTGCAGAGCAATTTCTGCATTAAGACGCCTATAACGATAGGACTGGCTCTCCAATAGGGCCCGGTGCTCACCAAGAACAGACACTACAGAGCACTGAGTGCGCTCCTGCCATTTATTGAGGTGCTCACCTAGAAACGGAGCTCTTGACATTCCAGCCATAGTTTTTGCTCTCCCAGCAGCTAACGCGAACAGAACGTGAATGTCTGGATGGGTGTTATCCAGCCTTGCCCAGGGCAGACCTACCTCTCTGCTGAAAACTTTGGTAAGAGCTCTGCTACTGCCACTGCTGTGAAGCTGCACCAGTGACACTTCAGAAGCAGCAAATCAGCATAAGACACCTTGGGACCAAATTCACATCAGCTGCTGTCTGCTGCTAACACAGGCATGAACAGCCTGGGAGGTTGAAGGAGGAGCTCTCTAAATTACACCGGCCCAGGTCAGCCTTTGGTTAGCAAAGATCTCTCACGTAAAGGCTGCCACAATTGCACTAGTCACTGTGTTTAATACACCTAACTGTTTCAGACCTTGAACAGACAGGATCAAGGGAAGTAGACCATAGATCATGGCACAAAGATGACAAAAATACTTCCTAGTAGTGCCAGTGCAGTATGCATTGAAGGAGGTTACATTTAACAGCTTTTCTGCAGAGAGCCCTTGTTCAGGGCATTGCTGCATCTCAGCAGTTGCCAGGGACGACTCCTTGCCAGGTCTGAAGGTGCAGGCCATACCACTACAGTGGGAACAGCAAAGACTTATCTGCTGCGCAGAGTCAGGAGCAAACAGTAAGTGGTAAGCGTGCATTTTCATCCAAAATAAGATGTTATTAGGCTACTGCTGAGGGAGTTGGGGCTTTGTTAACAGTAGTGTCAATCCACTAAACTCACTACCTCAGCTAACAGGGGCATGAGAAGACAGTCAGACACTTGGTCTCGTTTTACCCATTAGCATTCAGATGCTAGAGTCCCTTTCCCGAGTTTCTTGGAAGTCGCTGCCTGACTCAGACTCATACCAAGGTCAATGAAAATAAAGCCACTTTAAGTACAAATGGAGTTAAGAACCCCAAATACCCTCTCAGATTGCTAACTCTCCACTTGGGAAAGTCAAGAGACCACAGAAACAAGAAACCACACATCAGTCCCAAGCCTGCATTTAGGCCAGGAAGTAGAACTCTGTCCCTGCCCGACGACATGGGAGGAGAGTTGAGCGTCATCAGCGTTGCCCTGAGCGTCTGCAACTCCAAGAGGTGTTCCCCAGTACTCAGCAGCAGCTCCTGCAGTGAATCCCACTTTTAAAAGCCTCTTCCCTTCAAGGACACTGAAAGAGGAAAGGCCCGTACCCAGGTTGGGTAGGAAAGCCACTGCAGTACTGTAAGACATACGGCTCCCGTGAAGGGTAAATACATTTAAGTTGTGCACACCGGCGAGACACAGAGCTGCATTTAGGGCTCAGTCACGGCCCACGAGCTCCGCGCTATCTGCTAGCGCCGAGAGCTAATCATTAGGTTACCACAGCAACCGCATCCCATGCTCGACGGAGTCCCAAGCAGCAGCCTCGGGGTGCAGCAGAGAAGCCTCAGTCACTGGAAGGGATGAAGACCGAGTTGCAATACAGAGCGGAGGGGTGATCTGGTCACAGTGAAATTCACCCCCATGGAGTTGGGCTCCCCTTTAGCCTGCTCCAGACTCATGGAGCCATTCTTCCTCCGTGCAGGGGACACGCAAAGGTCC